TGTTAAATATCTAGTTCATGCAAAGACATCTCTTGAGAGCTGATAAAGGCAGAAAATCTTACTTTCTACTGTAGCTAAATCTCTGCAACAGAGGCTGAAATCTGCTAATTTTAAAATCTTGCAAGACACAGTAAGCAGAAAGAAACACGCAATTGTGTTTACTCAGTAAAAGTAATGGTTAATTTGACTAATAAATCTCCTTAATGTAAGTAATATGTAAATAAACATAGTAACTGTGAAATGTCATTCACTGGTTTCTAAGATAGCAAAAAGTAAATATCAGGAATTAGAATAAATATTTCAGGAGCTTTTATTAAATGCAACTTAGTATATTATAATATACTTATATATATACTTAATATATTAATATAGCTCCACCCTTACAAACAGAAGTACCTAATGTAAACAAAGTAGTGGTCAAAATAATATGGTGTATGATGTTCTCACAACATTGGAACAGGACTGATTACAGTGATCAAAGACTTTTCTCTATTATGTCCATGGGAATTATGCTGACGGTTCACAATATTGTAAGCAAGGATAACACAATGTAAAAGGAAATTACCCACCTTATTTGGGTAATAATGTACAACCTTGTCTAGTTTATCAAACAAGTAAGGTCACCCACTTTATTATTTACCACTACACTGTGGCAGAAATCCAAACTACTTTAATGATACCAACTGAGAGGAACCAACTCTTTTCCAGGAAACTAATTAAAAAGTAAATATACAAAAGAGAGACAGTGATTATTTCAACTACATTCCTTGCCTGCTTTTTCCCATGGTAAGGGCATCAGATTGGCTTGTGGCTTCTTTTAAAAAAGCCAAGGCAGACTGAGCTATTCAGATCTGTTGCAGACATTTTCTTCACTGTATTAATGATTTTCTGTGGTCTTCTTCTGACACTCTTTGTTTTTTCAACACCCTTTCTTAAAGCTGGGGCACTGAAACACAGCCTTCTAGCACCAGTCTCATTGAATCTGGGCTCATGACCAAAGCAATGACCCCAGTTCTATGTAATCAATTTTCTCACTTGAGTTGCTTATCTACTGTGATTCCTGAAATATTTCCCTCAAAGGTTAGGACTCCTTAGAACACAATTCCTCTTTCTCTCAATGAAGGTAGTATTCAGCCTTAAATTCACTATTTCACTTGATATAGATGTACTGAGGTTACCAAGCAACCCAGGTTGCTTGCTATAGCAAGAGGCCTTTACTCAGTGTCATTTGCAAATTTCATTGTGTGATACTCTACCAGCTTCCAGTTTGTCTGAAAAATACTGAAAATGTATGTCTAATTGTGAACCTTGTTGAAACCTGATGCAAACACCCTCCCTCAATTACGACTCCTCATGCCAAGTATTTTCTGTGATATGATCATTTAGCACATGCTCTATTGACATTGCATGGAGTTAATTCCTTTTCAGAACATTGAACTGATTGAAGTAAATGCCAATAAATGCATTGCCTACCAATACTGTAGAGCCAAGATAGCCGAAAGGTACTGTAATCAGAGGTGAGGGATTTGGGCTCCAATACTACTTACTAGAACAGGAAATTGTCCTAGGACAATTACAATTCTGTACTACAAAATAAAAAGAGATATGACCACCTACTTCTACCTATGCTGTGAATCTGCCTATCGTTCTCCTTTGCTTTTGTAACATCTGGCTCAAAACAAAGTTTTATCAGTTAAAATCAGTTAATCTGCCTAAACAGAAATGGAGCCCTTTCCCTGCCTCCCCCCATCTCAAAATGAAACCCTCCCTTTTCTCCATTCAGACTGACTCACTATTTATTATTTATTTTCTAGGTTTATGAAGTGATAAATCAGTTTTGTGCACAGTCCCGATATGCTTAATGCCACAGAGTTTTGGTAATTCAATTATTAGGCTTGGATTCATTGTGTCAGATGGCCTCAGCTTCTTTATGGTCTGCTTTTCATGCTAAACAGGACAGAACCTCAAAACTGTCTTAGAGGCAGATCCAAGAATAGAAGGTGTTTGCTCTATCCTGTCTTTAAGTAAAATCCAAGTGACTGGTGAATTAAGTCGATATGGAAACTTGTATTGTTATACACACGTCTGACATGTTACAGTCCAGATAAGAAAGTGAACCACACAGAACCGAAGATAATTAGAAGAGACATCACTTAGTAACAAGTGGTGTATTCAGTGTGTCTGCTTTCTGGTAAGAGAGAAATCTAAGCCATGACCTTGTGTTCCTTTCAGACCACAAGTAAGACTCAAAAGTTTGGCTAAATGCTTATAGCCAAAATGCCTGAAAAACAACCAGGCAAACAAGAAGAAATAAGGAAGCTGGTTTTGTACTTGTAAAAACAATGGAAATGGAGATAAATCTTACCATTTCATCTGCTTGTGTATAATAGGAAATTTCAAGTGTTCAATCTATGGCTTCTAACAAAATGTCATTCAAGTAGTACAAGTAGTATAAACACCAAGATTTTTATTTGTGTATTTTCACTAATTTATGTGAGAAGTTATTAAATAGTGCATATTCTTTATATGATTTTTTCTTCTTTTATATGAAATAATACGACAGAAGTCTTTTGGGTACTACTAGTCTCTAAACTCACTTAATAATGATATAAAAGTTTAAGAAATATTAGATACTGTACGACTTGAACCCTTATCTCAGAAATATGCAGTGGCAAAAAGTGATAATCTCCTAAAATTTTAGTACCTGTAATCCATAGGGTAATCAAATATGATTGTCAGCGCTGAGCCAGCCTATGACCAGGCACTGAGCTTCACAATATCCACTGGGTACACTGAAGTGGAATATATTCCAAGAAGCAAATAACACAGTATTTACAGTAGCTGTATAGAACTACAAAGAAACACAAAGTGTGGTAGTGATGTGAGAATCTTCATTGCTATTTTGGTGGAGCAGTCTCTGGACTCTCACTTAAGAAGCTAGGATGAATAGACTCTATTGTTTAGTTAAAATATAGTTTCTTATAAATGTTATTCTTTATGAACAGGAAAATTTATAAGTTCTCCTTCAACAAGCCCTGATTATGAAGGAGCGTATTTACCTGTTAGTAAGGATCCTCTTCATTCTCCTTCCAGTGCAAGTTGTTCTTTTTCCTTTCTGCTTTTCCCAATCCTACCACCCATTTTGATACTCTTTCCTCTAATTGTAGAGGGTATCCTCACACACTATGATTTCCATCAGTTTCTGAATCGTTCCAGCTTCTTTTCCCTAAGTCAAAAAAGGACTTTCAAATTTTTAAATACTTTTTATTTTCCCTGCTATAAATCTCTGCTATTTTCTGAGAGATACCATTATATTTGTCCCAGAGTTTTCACCTTGAGCTTCTCTCAGACTGGGAGGATTAACAACTTAGGTTACTGTCATGGTTTAAACCCAGCTGGCAACTAGGTACTATGCAGCCACTTGCTCACTCCCACATATCCCCCCTCTGCGCGGGATGGGGAGGAGAATGGAAAGAAAGTAAACCCCAGGGGTTGAGATAAGAACAGTCCAATAACTAAAGTACAATGTAGTACTACTACTGAGGGAAATACCAGATGGAGAGAATGTAAGGGGACGGAAAAAAAAAGAACAATAAACACAAGTGATGCACAATACAATTGCTCATCACCTGCTGACCATTAAATAGCCTGACCCAAGCAGTGATCTGGCCCTTCCAGGTAACTGCCCCCACTTTATACACTGGGCATGACATGCTGTGGCATGGAATACCCCTTTGGCTAGTTTGGGTCAGCTGTCCTGTCTCTTCTTCCTCCCAGCTTCCTGTGCCCCTCCTCTCTGGCAGAGCATGAGATTGAAACGTCCTTGATTGGTGTAAGCATTACTTAGCAACAACTAAAACATTGGTGTGTTATCAGCATTGTTCGCAGACTAAAGCCAAAACACAGCACTGCACCAGCTACTAGGAAGAAAATTAACTCTATCTCAGCTGACACCAGGACAGTTACTTTTAAAAGCTTAAACAACCTTGAAAAAAGTATTTTTTTCTTTTTCCTTTAGAATTAAAGCCAAGGATCATGCAAGCTCCTCTTCCCAGTTCCCAGTATGGCCGCAATAGAGTCCAGGAAATCTCAAAATTACAGAAGAAGAAAAACATCTAAAGACCCTTTTGAAGGCTGGAGTTCCCTCATTTTACATCAGTTTACTACTTTGGGGTAGTATGTATCAAGCCTGAACAGGCATGATAAGATTTAAGGGCAGTCAAAGTTCTAAATTTTGTGGAATGCAGAAGAATTTGAGAAAGACAATGCAGAGTTGGTAGGAGAAAATGAGTCAGGTATTGCTGCTATGTAGATAGTAAGTGTAGTTATGGAAATAAGTTGTATTAAAGGGCTATTCTGGTATAACCTGCTGTACTAAGTGGACTGCACTGCACAAGGTACTGATTTAGATGCAGTGTTAGCAAATTCCTGATGTAGTACAAGTCTGAGACTAAGTAGTTCAACCTTTCAAATAGTAAGAAAAGCAAAGGGAGCATGGGACAGTAAATGGGCAAAGGAAGCATATGAAGACAGTTTTTGTATCCATGTGAATCCTTGCAAATTTTAGGGTTACATTTACTACAATGAGTAACCTCTGGAGACTCCCAAGGAGAAAAGGAAGTTCCCAACTACAAATGGATAAGCATTTCCTGTCCCTGATGCCACACAATTCTGCTGACACAAAAGAGGTTTAAACATTTAACCTTTTAAGAGGCAAAAGCTCCCAAACATCCAGAGACATGACTTTAGTGGTACTGCCATTACAAGTTGGAATAAACAGGTGAGCCAGTACTTGATCTCAATTGTATCTCTGATATTGATAGGTTTTATTCTAGCTGAGAAAGATTAAGAACATCTTCATACTATTCAATTTGCATTCATATTCTCTTGATCCTGAATGTGAATATGGTAGTCCATATGATGAATACAAGGATAAAAGAGAGGGGAAAGGAAAATCAGGAATACAGGAGAGAAAACAAAACTGAGAATGAAGAACTTACTTGTCAAAAGACCAGTGATATTTAAAAAACTGTTGGTGGTGGTCTGGTTTTGAAGTCACTCTGCTGTCTCAAGGAAGTTATTTAAAAATGTTGAGTATGCCCTGAAAAGAAGAAGAATCAAGAACTCAATAATTGTATCTCCTATCAAATACTAAAGCAAAACTTGTAAAAGAAAACTTGTTTTCCCATGTTATAGGGTTATGAATTAATAAAATAATTTTGTACTCCACCACTGAAACTGCAGATGGTTTATGGGCTGCTGTAAGTTGAACTGCTCGAATCAGGCTTACTGGGTGCACAGGGAGTCAGAATGACAAGAAGAGTAATTACTTAAGTTATTCTCTTGCATACCTACGTTTCTAAGCTGTTCAGTTGTGAGATAACAGTGAAAATTAAACAGGTCTGGCTCCTTTCTGGTTTAATAAACAGATACGCTGGAGTAAATGATTTTTCAAAACCAGACACAAAGTCATATCCCTAAATGTCTTTCAAACAATTGGATAGACTTATTTGGCTATCTTTTGGACTAGATCATGTATTTGGCCTCCCTATTTGTGATCTAATAGCTGAGTGTTTCCCTTTGTTCCTTTTCATGTATAGCTTTATAATTTCCAATTGTCCTTAATGGACAGGGTAGTTGTGAGTCAAGGAGCCATCTCAGCTCTCCAAACTGAAATGAAACTGAAAGAATGGGAGCTGACCAGCACTTCTATATATGCAGACTGGGGGCAGAAGTAGAGGAATTGGGAATGAAGGAGTGAAGTTGAGCCTGGAAAAAAGAAGAGGTAGATGGAAGACGTTTTTAGTGTTGTCTCTGTTTCTTAATGTCCTGTTCTATTTTTAATTGGAAGTAAATAATATTAATTTTTCTCAAGTTGAGTCTGCTTTTCTTTTTCCCCATGACAGTAATTGGTGAGTTACCTCCTTGTCTTCATCTCGACCCATAAGATTTTCTATCGTATTTTCTCCCCCTGTTGTGCTGAGAAGGGGAAGAGGCAGAGCAGATGGATGGGTGTCTGGCTGCTGGCCAAGGTCAACCCACTACAGGTGTAAAAAAATGTTTCCATCACCAATCTCTCCAAGACCAGTAGGAATGAGATGGGAAACATACAAAGAGAGTTTGCCTATAATGCACAGGAATAAACAGAATTAGTAAGGAACAGAACTCCTCCTCAGAGAAAACTGTGTTAACAGGAAATCTTCATACACCCCTAGCTTCTGTACCGCAGTGCAGCCAGTTTATGTTAACGAGCAAAACGTCAAATGACTCATATTCCATGAAAGGAGAGTGCTGAAAACCTCATGTAAAAAAGATCTCTGCTTGCGATATGATACTGAGGTCTCTTTGACCCATAAAATAATTTTTGTCAGTGATCATTTAAATGTAACATAGTAAGTTTTTCAAAGTCAGAGATGAGACTGACTGGCTTACAGCAATATATTTATTCTGTCAGCACTTCCTTTAGAAACAACTATTTAAAGTTCTCTGGCACCTAGGCTTTAACAATCCTGAGGTGATTTACTTAATTCCAGATTTTATTAAGCTCCAGAACACAATATTTGCAACTGTTATGATAGTAATAGCAAATTCCAGCTATGAAAAAATTGAAGGCCTATGCATCTCTATCTGATACTGAAGACTATGGAATTAATTCCACATTAAGTTAGTACAGCAAAGGATTATACAGTTGTTTATTTTCCCTTGGGTTTTGGTCAGGATATGCCTTACAGTGGCAAAATTAGCCAGATAAAACTCATTAAATGAATTCTTTCCTGAATAAGTTTCTTGTTAGAATTAATGTTCTGCTAAAATAATCAACAACCCACTAAAAAGATGGGGTCCGTGGCAAACATTCACGCTGCCTCACATATTTGTTGTAAGAAAACTCTGATATAACAAAACCTAAAACAACATAAATTGCTAGTAGAATTGAGTGAATATTAAATTCTACCAACAATCTCCAGTTTGCAGCCTAAAACACTGGCAATTTAGCTGTGTTTTCATGGTCAAATAACTGCGGTCTCATATCTGTACCCTGGGAAATCTATAAACACACAGTGAAATTAACTGTTACTTGGGAAAGGGAGCTTAGAAACAGCTTTATGAAAATGTCACCTAAATCCTAATCAACTGTCAAAAAAAGGAAATGGTATATTATGAAACATTAGGAAAAGAACAGAAAACAGAAGAAAAAACCATGATAATGCTGTCAGAAAATTCCATTGCCCACCTATCATCTTGAATATTAAATACATTTCAAGTCACCTCATCTCAAAAATGACAGGATAGCAATAGAAGGATAAAGAAAAGTGTGACAGGATGATCAAAGGTATATAATGGCTTCTGTACTAGGAGTGGAAAAAAACAGCTTTAGGATTTTCATATTGGAAGAGGGACAAATGAGGGAAAGGACTGTTACATAGCCCCAGAAAATCATAAGGAGTGTTGAAAAAGTGAATAAAGAATGCTTTTCCACTGTAATTCATAGCACAAGAAGCAGTCCCAATAAAAAGAGCAGTTACCAAGTGTAAAACACGAGCCCCAAACAAGGATCCATTCCACAAAGTTCATAATTAAATAGTGGAACTCATTGCCACAGATGTGGTGGATGAAACCCATACATGTGTGGGCTTCAAAAAGCAATTTACTGCTGTGGTAAAAGAAACATTGACTGGTCTGTATTTTACACAAAGATGCACATTATAAGACTTCAGTTTAAGAAACATTTCAGAGCACCACGGGGTGATACCAAGGGAAGTTATGTTTTGATCTGGTTTAAATACAGCTATTGTAATGTCCTGATTCATTTTGCTCTTTTATTGCATTCTTGGTTATCTCTTAGAGAGTGTACTGTGCCTCCAGCTAGTATGCAGGGAAGTTTGTGAGGGAAGTAAATTTGTAGTTTCCCCAGTCCCCCCATGCAACTTCACATCCTAGGATAATCAGAAAAAATGAAGAGTCATATTTTTTTTACAAGCCTATCCATAGTTATGGAAATAAAAAATGAATTTAATGATAATTATAATAATATTCTGTACAGACCTGTGATAATCTTTTAGTGTTCTGGTACCTTACCAAACTGAGTAAATAACATGGCTATACTAGGTCAGACAGAAGATCTATCTGCTTAAGCCAGTATCCCATCTACAACAGTGGCCAAAATACAAAGTTAGATAGATATAGCTAGTCAAAACATTTTTGCCTTAGCGTTACAAAAGCATTTCCTCAGTGTAGCTTTTTACCTCATAGCACTTTACTGCTTTGTCTCCCACAGCACATCTGAAGAGTTAAACTTTGCATTGTAGAAAAGATCCCAAGTCAACTGAAACCCCTGAGGGACAATGAAGCAGCTCAAGGGCACCTTGAGTTTAGTCTACTGGACATGCTCACCCCACCCTGTGTTAGAGTCTTATTCACCCAACTACACTCAGCATTGGCAAAAAGTAGATTTTTGCTGGTGATTTGTACCAGCCCTGCGTACAGGGCTTCCCCCCGGTATGAGAATCAACATTAAACCTTCTACTAGCCCAGAAGCACTGCAATAAACACACCTCAGATAACACTGGCGTGCCAACAGCTCCTCATATAGCCCTGGCCTTAGTTTCCAATGGAAACAAGAGTAATTAAAAACATAATAAAATTAATAGGAATAAGTTAAAGGGTAAAAAAATACTATCTTTTGACGGCTTAAATCTTTGCATTGGGTGTAGGGGTCAAAGTGTTGGTAGGAAAGGTGGGGGCTGCACGTGTGGCCTTTGTGAGGAGCCAAACTAGTGGTACCTCTGGGAAACATATTTAAGAAAGGTCAGAAAATGCTACATAGGTAGAAGAGGACGGGAAAAAAGAAATAACAGAGGGAGTACCAAAGGCAGAGGTGGAGGAGGTGCTCTAGGGCACTGGAGCAGATGCTTCTGTGGCCTGCTACTTTGCTTTCAGGGAAGGGGTCCATACTGGGTTTGTTGCACCTAAGTTATATACAAGAATTCCATACTTTCAGTTAACTTAATCTGAACTGCTCTGACCAGTCCTTATACAGACAAGGAACTATTCTGTTCTCAGGGAGCATGAGGATGCAATGCTATTTCCCCACCACTCCACTGTAGCTAGTGGTAAATGATAGTAAATACATATCCAACCCTATTTCCTGCTTCCAAATATTTTAACGAGCAGATTTCTGCCAATGCATTGGTTAATTATGCACTGAATTATTTGGACGAAGCATTTTAGCATGTGGATTTTGTGTCAGCTGTTTGCTATTGGCTATGCATTGTTAGTAATTGTTTTGACTTCTCCCTTATGTGCCTTATGGCGCAGGAAGAATGATACTCTTCATGAATGCCACCTGATAGTAACAATAATGTTTCTGCTTACTGAACAGATGGAAACAACTTTCCTAAAAGGCCCAGGTGAATAAGGAATAACTGAGTAACAAACAGCAAATATCTACTATATTAGTTTGAACCTGAATATTGTTTTTTGCATGCAAGTATAAAATTAGAATAGAATCATAGAACAGTTTGGGTTGGAAAGGACGTTGAGATCACCCAGGTGCAAACCCCTGCCACGGGCAGGGATGCCCCACACTAGACCATGTCATCTAAGGCTCTGTCAAACCTGGCTTTGGACACTGCCAGGGATGGAGCATTTACCACTTATTTGGGCAACCCATTCCAGTGCCTCACCACCTTCACAGTAAAGAACTTCTTCCATATATCTAATCTGAATCTCTCCTGTTTAAGTTTGAACCCGTTACCCCTTGTCCTATCACTGCAGTCACTGATGAAGGGTCCCTCTCCAGCATTTTGTTGGCCCCCTTCAGATACTGGAAGGCTGCCATGAGCTCTCCATGCAGCCTTCTCTTCTCCAGGCTGAAGGTAAAAACAAATTCATCAAAGCACAGTGCTTCCTTACACATGCATGTAAATATTTCTCAGTTCTTCATGAAAGGAATTAAGATGTCACCAAACCAAATATAAGTTTGGATTAAAAGATGTTTCAGTCAAATGTTACAGCAGTAATGAATCAGTTTAATATATAAGAAAACAAGTTTGCTGTGACCAGCATGTAATCTGTAATGCAAAGGAGTTTTGAATGAAAGAG